AAATTTCCATTGCAATTTGGGAACAGATTTGCTTTTTAATTTTTTTGATTGAAATATAACATGAAAAAAATAATATATTTGAACAAGTTTTTTAATTTTTTATAAAAAAATTATAAAAAGTAGAATGAGAAAAATGAATTGCTAATTTTTTTTTTATATCAATTAAAAGTTTGTTGATTTTTTATTTTTTTAATAATTTTTTAATTTTTAAAACGAGGCCGATATTGCAGTTAGAGCGTGTGACATGGTAAAAATTAGAGTTGAACAACGGATATTTCTATTCATCTAAACTGATCGCAACGAACTGAATCGTTATATTTTGGATGGATGTGTGATGATAAGCGGACAGTTGCAGATTAATTTTTTTCAATCTGTCTAGTTTTAGAAGGATGACAGATTTAAGATTCCTTTGGTCACAATCAAACCGCCAAACTACGAGTATTCTTAGTAATTTGTGAAATTTTATATTTTCAATTTGTTTAAATATTCTGTTTGTGTTTTCAATTAAAAAATAGTTTAGATATTCTGTTATATTTTCAATTTGAAAATTCTTTCGATCGCTCTACGTAGCTCGAAAACGGGGAGCTCGAATGGCTCGATTTTTTTTTTTTTTTACAGAAGAAGAACGAAGGCCAGGAAGAAGAAGGAAGAAAGGAGGAGGAGGAGGAGGAGGAGGAAGAAGAAGGGAGGGAGGAGGAAGAGGGGGAGGAGGAGGACTGGAGGGGGCATAATATTCGGGAGAGGAGGAGGCGGAGGCGGGGCGACGGCGGTCGGAGGCTGCGCGGGGCTGGGCGACGATCGGCGGATCGGCGGCTGGGCGGGGCGACGATCGGTGGCTGGGCGACGATCGTCTTCTCTCTCTCTCTTCCCCTCTGTTTCTCTCTTTCTCTCCCTCTCTCTCTGCTTCTCTCTTCCCCTCTGCTTCGAAATCGAGCCATTCGGGGCAAATGTTTCGAGCTACGAAACATTTTTCAAATTCTTTTATCAAATAGCAAGTGTTTATATTTTAGTATTTTTGTGTAAAAAATATAATACTTAATATTGTTATTTTTTAAAAAAAAATTAAATTAAATAGTTTTTGAATTAAAAAAAAGTAATGAAATAGTTTTGATAATGTATGATTTTCATATATATATTTATTATTAGTGTTTGACAATTTACTTGATGATTTTTTGATTATGTTAAGTTGGATTATTTTTCAAAACAAAATATTAATAAGTTGTTATATTATATTCAAAATTTATAAAAATTTAAATTACTGAACCAATTCGTATTTATTTGTTAGATTAACTTTTTTCAATACACTAATCTAGCGGACAGATAATGAATTAAAAATTTTTTGACCATAGTTGAACAGCGAACACCCTAATACAAATAGAAAAATACTTGGGACCTCTAATTAGAGGTACCACTAGTGCACATCAGTGCTGTGTCTTGGCTTTTTTTTTTTTTTTTTTTGCTTTTTCCACCTCATTAGAGGTGTATTTAGAGCCTCTAAATTAGAGGTCTCTACATTGCCCAATACAAATATACTGGTGGAACAACCTTTTTGACCTACGACGGGTCTTTTGTGGTAATTCAATTCATATTCAGGAAACTTGTCGTTGTGTAAATGGCGAGTGCCCAACTCTTCCATACGCCAGAGTGTAGTATAATTTCTTTTATTAAGAAACGTCAGCTCGATAAATCACATTGGTTTGCGTGTCTTATCGCTGAGGAAAATTATTCGGTGCTTTGGTTCAAGTTTGTGTGGTTTTTAAAATCACTGGACGAGAATGATTTAAATCGTTTATCTTATCAGATTTATTAAAAAATTATTAGAATAAGAAATTAAGTTAATATGATATTGATAATTATATGATCAATCACATTTTATCTTAAAAAATGATTATCAAATATAATTTTAATAATAAATTATTTATTTTATAATACATATTTGATTTAATTATATAATTAATGTTTGATCATTTTAGTTTTTCATATGAATTTTTTATATAATGATCTATAAAAACTAAATAGTGTTATAAATCGGTTTGAAATTTTGATTTTTTAGTAATTTTTGATTACTTATTTTTTTATGAGATTGAAAAATATATTTTTTAGAATGATTTTTTAGGTCACTTTTTTTAGTTGTATAGAAAACTTAAAAGAGAGTTGTCACATTTTGACTTTTTACTTAAAATTTTCATTGTTCCCTTGTTTTAGTTGTATGATTTTTTTTTAAAAAATTTTTTATGAGAATATGTTGGTCATTTTACTTTGCTAGAAGTTAATTTATTTTTATTTTGGATATATGTTAAACATGTTGGGATTTTTTTTTTTTTTTAAACTTTATTGCTTTAATGACTTTTTATTTTTTGACTAAATTTTTTTTTCCCCCTACAAGTTGGTCCAAGTGAGATGTCAAATTGGAGAAAATCCGAACTCAAAATAAGTGGAGAGATCTATGAATTGAATTGATAAAAGGTACTCCCTCTGTCCTATTTTATTAGTTAATTATTTTGTTTTTTTTTTTATTTTTGTTGTCCCAAAATGTATGATCATTTTAAAAAGTCAACTTTAAATTTAAAATTAGGAATGATCATTATCTCTCGCTCCGCTTTTTCCTTGCATTTCTCGCCTTGCATGGGTTTTCCTTGCCCAATGAGGAAGTGTAGCAGGGACAGGTTTTACTTCTCTTGCCCATCCCGTTCTACCCGAACCCTACATCGATTACATTTATTAAATATATTTATATATAATATAATTTAATTTTTTTCATTATAATAAATTAAAACACTAAAATATTATATATAATGTTAATTTGTACTAATTTTTTTTCATCTTATACGTTATAATTCTCATTAAGTATAAATCATTATTCATAATATATTATATTATTTATAGTTTTAATTAATATTTTTATTTCTCAATTTATAAAATTTACTCATCTCCTACCTCGCCCCCACCACTCTCGATTTGTCCCTTCCCTGATATAATACCGGGCAAGGGTGAATTACTACAAATCCCTCAAAATCGATATGTGACCATCCCTATTTAGAAGTTTTTGAAATTATCCTCTGTGAGTAATTATAAACAGATTTAAAAATGAGAATAGAAAAGTGATTTTTATTGATAAATTTTATTTAGAAGTGTTCTATCCCAAAAAGTTGATGAAGGAAATTTTTAACCCACTTAGGCCCCGTTTGGCAAGAGGCTATTTTAGCCAATTAGTCAAAAAGTTACTAAATTAGCCAAAAAGCCAACAACCCATACCAAAAAGTCAAAGATTCTTTTTTCTCTCTACTTTTTGCACATCTTTTCGTAATTAGCCAAAAAGTCATCCCAAACATACAAGTTTTTTTTACCTACTTTTTTAGCCAAATAGTCAAAAAGTTACTAAATTAGCCTGTTCCCAAACGAGGCCTTAGTCCCATGTATTTATACTTTTATTCCATAAAGTCTTTTTTTTTTTTTACTTACATTATTTTCTTAGGCTCTTGTGACCTTAATATTTAATATTGATATTTAATGTTGAAATTTAATGTTGGGGGAAGGGGGAGGGGAGAGAAGGCGAGCATCTCCAATGCACTAGGCATATAATACTTGTTAGTTAAAATGCCTAGTGTGATTCACTTTTTTCAATTCCAATGCACTAGGCATAATAATGTTTAATTTTTTATATTTTTTTATTTGTTTTATTATTTTATATAAAAATAATTTAACAATTCCTCATTATTAATCCCCTCACTATTAATCCTCTCACTAACAATCCCCTCACTATTAATCCCCTCATTATCAATCCCCTCAATTCTATCTCCCAAAACAAACGGGGCCGGCTCCTGTGCCCTTAATATTTAATATTGATATTTAATGTTGAAATTTAATGTTGGGGGAAGGGGGGGGAGAGAGAAGGGAAAGGACTAAGGCATTGGAAATTTCATACACAAATAAATAACATTGATGTTATTATTTTATATTATTGTATAATGTGAATATATTTTTAATTGACAACACATTAGAGATAATGAAAATATTTTCTCTCATCTAATGGAATATATTTTTAATTGATAACACATTAAAAATAACGTGAACATTCTCTTTCATCTTATGTGAACGTTCACAACACATTCCCGAAAAATTCTCTCTCATCTAATGTAGTGATGTGAGCATTCACAACATATGAACCTTCTTATTTTTAATTGACAACACATTAAAAATAACGTTCATTATAGCTTTGATTGACAACACATTCTTATCTACAACATGTAGGGATGTGAACATTCACAACATGTCAACATTCTCTCTCAACTAATGTAGTGATGTGAACGTTCATATTCGTATATTTTAGTATGAATATTTATATCATGTAATTGACAATAGAATGACAAAAATTCATTTCAAATTAATGTGAATATAATGATGTGAAAATTCATTTCAATTACATGATGTAAATATTCACATCACATAATTGACAACTAATAACAAAAGTTCATTTCAAATTAATATAAATATAATGTCAGTCAACATCTTGATGCATAGGAACTACCAAAACATAATGACAATCAACATTAAATATCAACATTAATAGGTGCAGAAGAGATTGAGAGTGCTTTGGTATTCTTACCTCAAATAAGATCTAATAGAATAGTCAAAAAAAATATAAATTAGATGAAATAAAACTCTTAAAAAGAAAATACATAAAAAAAAGCTCATAATAGAAAAACATTTTTAGAATTAATGTTTAAAAATTTAAATTCAAGTGTTTATTTGTTTTCTTTAAAAGTTGGAAATTCCTCAAAAAGGTTGTATCAAAATAGGAGAGATGGTGTATGAGTTATGAAGCATAGCATCGCATCGCAGCTAATAATTTTTGTACTTTGGGTTGGTTTGGGGTATCCTAAAAAGTGTACTTTTTATCTTTTTATGAAAAGATGTGCAGAAAAGTAGAGAGGTGATGTGATGAAAAAAAGATAAAAAAATAAAAAGATGAATTATATAGTCTATGCCAAACCAGCCCTTTGTTGGGCTTCAGACGCTTGAATGCAGTTAATACAGTAGTCGGTTCCTCACCCACCACCACGACCTCCATAAATGTCCGTCGAATTCACGGCCTCTTCTTCACTTCAATTACACACTCACAAAACCTCATCATCCTCCTCCCCCGGTGCACAATAGTGAAGGGCAAAAGCTGCAAAAATGGCGAAGTCGTCTGAGCTGAAGTCCGAGGCCCTCCTGGAGCAGATGAAGCTCCACCTCTCCTCCGACGCTGGCAAACATCTCACCAAGAAGATCGGCCTTGTTTATCAACTCAACATCGCTCCCAAGGTCTCTCTCTGTCTAATATCTTCTACATAGATGTATGTACGTTACATGTTTGTTGTATTGTCGCAGTTACATGGGTCTCAATACTAACCCTTTCGTTTGTTCAATCACAGAAAATTGGATTCAACGAGGACATCTATGTTGTTGATCTCAAGAAAGGAGAGGTCAAGAAAGGTTAGGGTTTTAGTCCCCCCCCCAAAAAAAAAAAAAAAATCGTTTGTTTTTTCATTGGGTATATACTTAGCAATTGATGATTGTTGAATTCGGATGGACCCAAGAACAGAATTTCCAAAAATCTTGAATTTTTCTTAATCTTATAAGTAATATAGGAGAAATGAAGAATTGAATCAAATGCGGTTAATCTATGATTATTTGATTCGTGATTTCGGGGTTTTAGGGCCATACGAGGATGGGAAGCCCGATGCCATCTTTTCTTTCACCGATGAAGATTTTTTCAAGATTGCCTCTGGGAAGATGAATCCCCAAATTGCTTTCATGAGGTGCTGGTGCTGCTATATTTAAGGGCTTCTTTTTATTTTTTCATTGTTTTTGTGATATGTGTTCTATTTCATTGAATTCAGTCACTTAAAACTATTTTTTGGGATGGATGCAGGGGTGCAATGAAGGTTAAGGGCAGTCTGAGTGCCGCTCAGAAATTCACACCTGACATTTTCCCCAAACCTTCAAAGATGTGAGCAGACTTGTCATTGAATTATTCACTTAAGGTTGTTTTCGTGGTTTCTCAAACGTATCATTTGTAGACTGAAATGTCAATTAGAAATGATTAAAATGATCTAAACCCATCCATTAGTATCTCTGATAAATGCCTCTTTATTTATGTAATATGGTACTCGCTATAAGGCTGTTTTTCTAAAAGAAATTTTAAATTTAAATTTGCAGTCTACATTGCTATCATTTTTTAGTTTCAATAATGCACGCCATTAATGAATGCCTCTTGCTTTATGTTTGCATTTGTTTGCTTTTGAAATGCTGTGAGATTGCAGAAATCTTTCTTGCTTTTTTTACTTGCAAGTTCCAACAAATCACCAAATTAGTTTATGGTATATTTTCTTGCAGTTTATATCTTACATAATAATCCCCTGAAACTTCATGCCTCTTCAATTTCTTTAGTTGTCACTTGATTTTGTAGCGTGTAAAAGGAAACAATGATCTTTGGACTTTGGAGATCATAAAAATTAGCTGGAAATTATCAATTTTTAAGAGTCTTCTCATTAGTTCAGTTATGATTTGTGAATGTGTTCCTCCTACTCTCACCCTCATTTGTGGGAATATTTGTATTAGGACAGGGCATAGCAGTACATCATTGCAGTGTATAAAAGTAAATAATATGATTGTTTCAGCTTGAAGCTATATGGCCCATTTGGAGGTGGTGTTTTGGGCTCTGCCATCTCTATTTCCCCCTTGTGACATAACATAGCAAAAAACTTGGAACAGACTTGATAAATGAAGGCCTGCAAACATTCTGTGAGGAAAACTGTTTCCAACTGGTAATAAGGTTTTTTTTGGTGCTCAAACTTGGACTTTAAGCTTGTAGAGCATATGGCTTCTCTTAAAATGTGATTATGTTGGCATTGCAGTTGCAATGTTCTGTGCAAGGGATGTTTTAAAATACCTCCCTGGGGGAGAAAGTACTGAGAGAGAGAGAGAGAGAGAGAGGTGAGATTTCCTTGTTTGCCCGTGTGTGTCTCACTATAATATTTGTAACGGTAAAGCACATGCAAGCTTATTGTATTTCATGGAGTTTCAGAGATCGCACGGTACAATGTTTAGATGCATCAATAGAATTAATAAAACTGTGTCTGAAATGGAAAAACTAACACTGGGCTGATAGATTTTATTTTATTCTTGGAGATTGATTCTGGTTAAAAATTCTTGTTTTAATAGTAGTATTCTCAAGTAGAGTGATGGAATTTTTTGCCTGCCCTCTTTGACTAAGAGTTGCAGAAATGCTGTTTCATTTGGATGAAATGACTCTTTCTTACCTCGCTTAATGTTTATTTTGGAGTTTGAGGTTCTTATGATTGCATAATCAGGGTAAATAATATGTCTGGCATCTTCCATGCCCATAATGGATGTAAGTTTCACCTGATTCCGACTGCGGCAAGATCATTGCTGGTCTGTTCTTGCAATGAGAATTGGATAGGGTCAATCAATATGAGATTAATAATAGTTGGGACAATGGGAACATGAAATTGCGATTGCCTTTTCACAACAAAGATTGTGGCAGCCAATTCAGTATGCTTACATATACATCTGTAAAATATATGATTGTTTTTATTAATTTGGAATTTGTGAAGAATATAATCAGTGACAATAACGAATAACCATTTAATGAATTGATCTGACTGCTAAATTTATTTTATAGGATTTTGATTTTGATTTTGATTTTTTGGTCTTTCCTTGGCATGAAAATTTATTTAATATCGGGAACCAATCCTTGGCGATCCTAGTCCATTTGATTTCGTTGATTGGAATTTGGGAACATCCTCTATTGGACCTCTCCCAATTATACAAAATGTGAACAGTTGCTTTCGTTTTAATCCTTGCCTATTAGCACTTCGTTTAATTTTGGAGTAACAATTAACTGAGGATTAAATTGTCCGACCAAATATCCTAGAAAATGTGAGAATTAAAATAATTCAATCAAAGAAGAATATCTCCTATCATGATGTTCAAGCTTTTGAATCTTTGTTCTTGAATGATTAAATTTTAAATGTATAAATAAAACTCACTTACAAAACACTTTCACAGAATCATATGTGAAAAGTGGAAGGAACAGAGTTTCAAGTCTATGCTATTCACAAAATGATGTCTGTATTTTGATGACTATCACAGACATATGTAGATGGGCTTAGTCCCATGATTTAAATGTAACTCTTTATAACTTTCCACCATCAGAGAAGTTGTAACTTCCCATGAAACCACTTTATGGGGTAGTGGATATGATTTACGCTAGTTATCCATTAAACTGATTAAATATATATAATAAATATATAAAGTATCTATACAATAATATAAATAAATGAAACAAACATGTGGCATATGGGCCACTTTATGGATATTCTTACATTCTTCGACTTGACACATATAACACATTTTGTTGACTTTCAAATAACTAACAAACTGATTATGACCATTAAATAGAAAGTACCCAAACCTTATAAAGAGTCATAACATATGAATCATGGTAGTTATACTCTATTAATTGAGTATTTCCTTCCATGTATTATATTGCATAATACTCTCAACTTTAAATACGTTATCTGGGTCCAATGATTCCTATGGATCAATAGTCCTAATGGACTGCATAGCATCACAAATACTTTAGGTGCACAAAATGATGTTTCTCTTTAATAATAATCAAAATGTCATGACAAAATAAAATAAAATAAAACAAAACAAAACAACTAGATCGACCTAACCAATCAGTCCTATACCTTTTACATGTTTTGAAAACACATTTACAAAAAAACCTTTGGTCATGGGATCCCCAACTATCTTACCGGTACTAATGTGCTCAATGCTGACTTCTTACTTCTTAATACGGTCTCGAACAACAAGATACTTTATGTCAATATGATTGCTTCGGCTGCCATTTTTGTTGGTAGAGAAGAAAACCGTAGCCAAATTATCACAGTAAATCTTTAATGGCCTATAAATTGAATTCACAATTCGAAGCCCTGTGATAAAATTCCTTAACTAAATAGTCTGTGATGTTGCTTCAAAGCATGCTATCAACTATGCTTCCACCGTGACGATGCAATTATCGTCTTTTTGGCGGTCTCCCATGAAATAGCACCGCCTGCTAACAAATAGACATTTCCTAAAGTGGATTTTTTCGAATCTTGAAAACTCGCAAAATTCGAGTCTGAATATCTAACCACCTCAAGACAGTCAACATGCTTGTAAGTAAGCATGTAGCCCTTGGTTCCCTTTAAGTACCTCATGACTTTCTTTGCAGCCCTCAAATGTTCTATTCCTGGATTGCTTTGGTATCTTCCAAGCATCTCAACTGCAAATGCAATGTCAGGTCATGTACAAACCAAAGTATGCATTAAACTGCCTACGGTAGACGCATATGAAATGCTAACCATTTGTTCATTTTTCAAATCATTCTTTGAACATTGACTTAAACTGAATTTGTCACCTTTTAAAATGGGTGCTGCATTAGGAGTGCAATCACTCATCCTGAATTTATCCTAAACTCTTTCAATGTAGGCTTTATGAGACAATCCTAATGTCCTTTTGGAGTGAATCTCTATGCCAATGACATAAGAAGCTTTACCCATATCCTTCATTTCAAAATTTTGGGAAAAAAATTGTTTAGTATCATGTAACAAACCCAAATCATTAAATGCAAATAAAATGTCATCCACATATGGGGGTGTTTGGGAAGAAAAAAAATAGCCTAGTTTAGGCTAAAAATCATAAAAAGACAAAATAAGCTAAAATAGTTAATAAGACAAAATATCACATCAAACCCATAATCATTTCACTTTTTCTCTCACAAACATCACATCCAACCACAAAAAAATCCAATCATCTTCCCAAACATAAAAATTTTAACTTACTAAAATAGCCAAAAACTAAAATAGCCTACTAAAATAGCCACTTCCCAAACGAGGCCATAGAACTAGAAAAATGTATTTGCTCTTACTAACCTTAAGGTATATACAGTTGTACACAACGTTCTCTGTAAAACAATATGAAGTAATAACATTGTGGAACTTTAAATACCACTGTTAGGAAGCTTGTTTTAGTCCATATATGGATTTCTTGAGCTTGCAAACTAAGTGATTATCTTTATTAGAACAAAAATCTTCAAGTTGCTTCATGTATACTTCTTCCTCAAGATTCCCATTTAAAAATGTCGTTTTCACATCCATTTGATGTAGCTCTAAATCAAAATGAATTACTAATACCATGATAATTCTAAATGAATTCTTCTTAGAAACTGATGAGAAGGTATTATGATAATCGATGCATTCTCTTTGACTAAAACCCTTAGTTACAAGTTTGTCCTTATATCGTTCGACGTTGCTATTTGAGTCTTTCTTGGTCTTATAGACCCATTTACAACCGACAATTTTAACTCTCTTAAGCAACTCGACAATTTCCCAAACTTGATTCTTAGCCATAGATTCCAACTCTTCCTTCATGGCATCATATCATAATTTAGAATCATCCCTATTCATGACATTGGAAAACGAAATAGGATCATCCTTAGATCCAATGTCAAAATGAGACTCATTAAGTATACAAAATAATCACCAGAAATTGCTGACTTTCTAACTCGTGAGGATCTTCTTAATTCTATAGTCTCAATTGGAACTTGACTTATAGGTTCTATGTTGACTTGTTCCTCTTGTGGTAGAAGTTCTTGAATTTGTTGACTTTCAAGGATATCAGGTTGATTATCCTGAAAGACAACCAATTCACCACGGGTGTTGTATCTGAATCCCGTGATTCCTTTCACTCTATCTTTCAAGGGTAACTCCCACTGAGGTCAACTTCCTCAATAAACTTAGCATTTCTAGCTTCAACAATTCTAAATGAATATGAAGGACAATAAAATCTGTAGCCTTTGGAGTTTTCCGCATAGCCTATGAAAAAACCGCTAACGATTCTGGGGTCTAATTTTTTTAAATGTGGGTTATACACCCTCATTTCAACTGGACAACCCCAAACGTGTAAGTGTGTTAAACTTGGCTTCCATCCTTTCCATAACTCAAATGGTGTTTTGGGAACAATCTTGGACGAATCCCTGTTTAAGATATACGCAGCGGTTTTCAAAGCTTCACCCTACAAATTTATAGGCACATTAGAATAACTAAGCGTGCTCCTTACCATGTCTAGAAGTGTTTGGTTCTTTCTTTCAGCAACACCATTTTGTT